TGAACATGTGAAAGTAGATGTGATATTCAATGGGATTCATTTTTAATTAACAAGTGGACGTAGATCTGACATTGAATGGGGCTCATCTTTTATTAACATATGAACGTAGATCTGACATCGAATGGGATTCATCTTTAATTAACATGGGGACGTAGATGTGACATTGAATGAGATTCATCTTTCTTTGACATGTGAATGTAGATCTGACATTGAATGGGATTCATCTTTAATTAACATGTGTACGTAGATCTGACATTGAATGAGGCTCATCTTTAATTAACATGGGGACGTAGATGTGACATTGAATGGGATTCATCTTGAATTAACATGTGGACGTAGATGTTATATTGAATGGGATTCATCTTGAATTAACATGTGGACGTAGATGTGATATTGAATGGGATTCATCTTTAATTAACATGTGAATGTAGACCTGGCATTGAATCGGATTCATCTTTAATTAACATGTGAACATAGATGTGACATTAAATGGGATTCATCTTTAATTGTCATGTGAACCTTGTTGTTACATTGAATGGGTCTTATCTTTAATTGACATGTGAACGTAGATGTGATATTGAATGGAACTTATCTTTTCTTGACATGTGAACGTAGATCTGACATTGAATGGGATTCATCTTTAATTAACATGTGAATGTAGATCTGACATTGAATGAGGCTCATCTTTTATTGACATGTGAACGTAGATCTGACATTGAATGGGATTCATTTTTAATTAACATGTGAACGTAGATCTGACATCGAATGGGATTCATCTTTAAATGAAACCTCTCAGGTTATTGGTCGTTATACTTGGTTACGTAGCAATTTATTTAAGGTTCTCTGGACTCCTGGAGTTGGAGTCTGGAGTCTCCGGACTCTTATTTAATGAATCAGTACTTCAATTATACTAACTGAAAATACTTCGGCACTGCACCTATGAATAAGTGCTAGAAATAACAAATAATAACATATGTAATCACGATGCTTTCGCTATCCGGCTATCGGTGATAATCTAATTTTGTCAATCATAATATGTCATGGGGCTCTCACTCACGGCCCACTGAACGTCTGAATTCAGAAATGATTTTCTCTATTGGTTCGAATCTTCCAGCAACACTTAAATATCAGGCATCAGCTTAAAATATATATCTCTAGTATACACACTGCACTCTAGCAGTGACTAGAGAGGGCCATAATCACGTATTTTATCTAGGTAAAAAACAAAAATGTAATGCTAATGACAAGCTCAAAATAATGGCAAGTAGATTCATTAACAAATTGAGACCACTAGGCACAAGCATACATTGAAGAAAATCTTGAAACGTTTAGTGCAATAGGTCACTTGGTTGTCAATATGTATCCTACACAAGTTCTTTTTGTTTTCTCCAAATATGGTAATCTTGATAAAACTGGCACTATACTTAGGGTCAGCTGAATATCTGTCGGCTGCTTCATACATCGACAGAACAATATGGCAGACTGTGGTCCTATCAGAATCTGTAAGTACCGTTGAAGTGTTTCGACATATTTATGTACGCCTGCCGATGATATACAAATTCATTTATCGATTTGTATATTTTCATCATATATTTGAATTACATCTGATATACATTGATTTTATTACCGTCATTCGGGTTTTTGTACTACTAAATGCTCGCTGATTATTGACTGGCCTGACATATTATAAGCTGAGTAGACCCTGCTCTGTGTACTCCTGGCCCTCGTACGAAAACGTAAGCTTGAACTTCAGCTTGACAGGCGCCTGCAGTATGTCAGGATTAGATCACATCAGCAATCCAAAAAGGTACTCGAATTATAAGCAACCATACCCACCAGCATAGACATACACCTAAAGGTGAGCACATGCGATAGGCACACAACATATCGACCTTGCGTTCCATCGTGCCAACTCCATATGTAGCAACCTAGAACACATCACATACGCAGCCAGCCTCACAACACACTACACCAACCCCAACCGAATTGGAAAGCGCATCCTTATCAGGCCTATTTAATCAGTGCCGGGTATGCGTTATACATTGCGAGACTATGGCGTACGCGTTTAGATAGCGCCCATCTGCCGAATAACCTGATAAAACAGTCAATACATTCCAAACAAGGCAAAGCAACAGCGAGTAAACGTGTCCATGACCACAGCCCGATGATATAGTATTTAAACGTCGGCTGCGACAAAAACAATCTATAGGTAGAAACGCGGAACAAAAACCAGATAATCCTATGCTTCCCAATATGCTTGGTCACTGCATCCCGATTCAACGGATACCTACATTCTGTGGATTGTGAATAAACATGATTTGTGACACCATTTTAGGGCCCATTATCATGTCAAAGGGCGGCAGGGTGGACGACGAGGGCGCCTGGAACTTGACTTGCATCACCTGAGTTTAGAAGATAATGTAACAGAGTAATGAGAAAAAGGTGCAAAAGGGCCCTACAGAAGGTGGCGCCAGGACACAGTCCTGTATCACCTGAGTTTTGACGATAGTATAACAGAGTAATGAGAAAAAGGTGCAAAAGGGCCCTACAGTAGGTGGCGCCAGGACACGGACCTGCATCACCTGAGTTTTGAAGATAATAAGTATAACAGAGTAATGAGAAAAAGGTGCAAAAGGGCCCTACAGAAGGTGGCGCCAGGACACAAACCTGCATCACCCGAGTTATGGAACACAATAACCCAATGAGAAAATGACCTCGTGGCTCCAGCAGAAAGGTATTAGCGCTTTGTCGTATACGCGTTGAATACTCTGGGAATGATGACGGCTAGTTCAATGCGACTACGATAGTTGGGTGTCTAGTTCTCAACCCTTACAGCCATGGGGTGTACTACCATGGGGTGTGAGTACGTATATGGATAGTGCGTCATACCCTTGTAGAGTTTGCCCAGTGCCTCTGTGGAGTGCGGGCGTAGCGGCATGGGTGATGTGACTATGTTGCCTATTTCAAAGTCGATGTGTTAAGTCTACGACTCTTCCGAGACCGAGCAAACCCTTCATATGAAACGAACGTAGACCCCCATACGTTACGTCTGTGGGCCATCCCTTGCCACTATATTAGTAACGTATCATCACGCACATACCTTCGGCACAGCAGCTAGGAATGAGAAGGGTGTTATTTCAGCTCCATTCTGGTTCATGAAGGAAATATTGTACGGCTGGGTGTTCGGTTGGATGGTGTCCTGTGCCCTGTGGATTAGGACTCTCAGGCCATTCTGGTCGTACACGGTTGTGGGGGGTTGCTTGGCTACCGGGAGTCAATAGTGGTACAGAAGTATAGGTGAGTAGGTAGCTTTGAATTTCCGATAACTTGGCTTTGCTTTGGGTTTTGGTGCATAACTGATGACACAGATCGATCGGCCTGCTGTTGATAGGATGAGCTAACTGTAGCACGAGGTCTATGTACACTTTCATTGAGGAGGTTTTATCCCTAGCCGATTGAGGTTCTTGGAGTCCACTTACTATAGTAGGGAACCCAGTACTCATATCTGAGTCTTTGGGAGAAATCTATTCAGTCGTCTGTTTGGTATACACACGCCTAGAAACCCAATGGTACCTGGGCACAGGGCAGTAGCATATACCTATCACCCGCGAATTACACACAAACCTGTACTCGCAGCAAGGCATATCCTCCTAGTCAGCCGCATCTACATGTCATAAATAACCCCAAACTCAAAACGCAAGATTCTCGATATAATACAGTGTACATATAGTATGTACGGCACCCCGACTCAAAACCCAAGATTCTCGATATAATATAGTGTACATATAGTATGTACGGTCCCCATTTAAAAACCGAAGATTTACGATCAAATACCGTGTACATATAGCATACACGGGTTACTACACACATGCAGACAACTATATGCAGCGGCACCTATATGTGAACTCAACCAACCACCTCAACTACCTGGTTTGAATGCGCTGAGTTCCATAGACACAGTCGACAGATCAGCTGGTGCCATGGGCGTGAGTGAACCTCCTGATAACAAGTGAGGTGACATCTCTGTTGTTGTGGGGTTGGCGGACATGCTCAAAGGTGCCGGATCTGCTGCCATTGTGTCTGAGGTGGTATGTAGTGTGCGATTAGTATGGGTGGTGGTTTCTGCTGCCACTGTGTCTGAGGTGGTATGTAGTGTGCGATTAGTATGGGTGGTGGTTTCTGCTGCCATTGTGTGTGAGGTGGTATGTAGTGTGTGAATAGTATGGGTGGTGGTTTCTGCTGCCATTGTGTCTGAGGTGATATGTAGTGTGTGATTAGTATGGGAGGTGGTTTCTGCTGCCATTGTGTCTGAGGTGATATGTAGTGTGTGATTAGTAGGGTGGCGGTTTCTGCTGCCACTGTGCGTGAGGTGGTATGTAGTGTGTGATTAGTATGGGTGGTGGTTTTTGCTGCCATTGTGTCTGAGGTGGTATGTAGTGTGTGATTAGTATGGGTGGTGGTTTCTGCTGCCATTGTGTCTGAAGTGGTATGTAGTGTATGATTAGTATGGTTGGTTCCGAAGCATGTGACGCACATCCTGGCAAGGTCACTGCGAGAGATCAGAAGGTGAGGCGCAGTACCAGAGGTCAACGCATCTAAAAAATATAACGGAGTAGATGCCCGCAGGTGCATGTATCACGATGACGGGTCATCACATACGTCACTCTCACCCTAATCCTGGCACGCACACGCTGTGAATGTGGACAGATGTGGCCCTAATTGCGAAGTCGGGGTACAGGTAACCAATCACGCCACTTACTACTGAAATTTAACGAGGCCAATTGGTCCAGATCAGACAGTGCGCTGTACTTTGAGTCGGTCTGCGCACCAGGTGTGGGAGAAATGGCTGACTGCAGGATTAGAAGGGAGATGCGTGATAACAGGATCAGTTGACAGACGTTTGTAAGGGTATGGTTCTTCTAAGAACACTGTTGAGAGATTGTCTTGAGTAAAGCGTGGTATATATATATATATATATACATACATACATACATACATACATACATACATACATACATACATACATACATACATACATACATACAGACATACATACATACATACATACATACATACATACAAACATACATACACACACACACACATACATACAAACAAACATACATACATACATACATACATACATAATATATATATACATACATACATACATATATATATACATACATACATACATATATATATATATGTTTTTAGGGTTTATGTGTTGTGTATGTGTAGTAGTGTGGTGTAGTGTATAGTGTAGTATGTGTATGTGTATAGT